CTAGAATTTGAGAGCCAGGTGAGGTGGTTTGTGCCTGTAATCTTTGCTACTCAGGAAGCTTGAGGATTGAAGCTTGAAACTGAGGATTGAAATGTGCCACCAGCTCAGATATAAAGGTTTGCTAGCGTCCATCTACAAAATAACTGACCAAAAGCAGGGCTGGAGGAATATCTTAAGAGGCAGAGTACCACCAAGAAAGCAAATAAGCCTAGAGAGATCCATGTCCTGTGTTCAAACCCCATATCATCACCCCACAAAAGAGAGAGAATTGTGGGTGGGAAGAGAACCAAGTCTAGTTGCATATCAAGGCAGGAAGTAAGACCCTATCTTAAAAATGACCAGCAAAAAACAAGGCGGGAGGTATGGCTCAGTACCATGTCTGCCTATCAAGTGCAAGGCCCTGAGTTCAAACCCCAACGCTGAAAAAAAAACCCAAAGTAAATACATACTAAAAATACATACTAAGAAAGATCTGTGTCAGGATGCTGAATAAAGAAAATTAGGTTTTCAGTAGCAGTGTTTCTGTAGGCTAGGAATAGACACTTGAAGATCACAGTTCCTGACTAGCTAGGAAAGCGTTTTAACTATGGTGCCAAAAATGAATTCCCTCTTGGCTTTCCAGTTCATCATGCTGAGAACTATTGATAGTTTGAATCCAAGGAATGCATTGCAAATGAAGTTTCTGATGAATACACAAATGTGTGTTAGTAAGAACAAATTCTAGTCCCCACGTTTTGTCTCGCTGAAATAATTCTATAGTCACAACATATGAGACATTCAATTTTGTTAAGGGAGAGGGCAAGGTCTTGATATTTTCTGATGAAAATTTGGAGAATTTTCTGATGAACAGATCTTAGTTGGAAGAGGAAGCTTGGCTGGAATTTGTTTTGTTTTAAAATTCCAGATCCATCTTTTCCCTTCAGTTTTATTTCTAGGTTAATTTAAAAAGATCGTAGAGGGCTGGGAAGGTGGCTCAGTGGTAAAGCACTTGCCTTGCATGCCTGAGGCCCTGGGTTCGATTCCTCAGCACCACATAAGCAAAAAGAAAAAAG